GCCCTGCCATGCTGCCCTGGAGAAGCCCACGAGCACCTGCTGGCTCCCAGCTGTTTCTCCACCAGCGTAGCTGGGCCAGAGCACGGGCAGACCCTGCCCTGGGGGCCAGTCTCCGGGTCCCCAGCTCCTCCCCACTATTTGATGGAATTCTTAATCGTCCACCTCTGTCCCGTGCAGCTGCGGAGGATGAGGTCAATGCCAGCCAGGCCACGGTTCTCCACCTCCAGGCAACGCCCAGTGCCCTTATTCATAATGGCTCCATTCTGGGTAAAAGGAGGCGAGGGAGGGAAAGGGGGAGGGGAAGGAGGAGGAAGAGGGGGAGGGAGGGAAAGAGAGAAAGAGAGAGAGAAAGAGAGAGAGAGACTTAACCACCTTAGTGCCCAGCACATGGCCTCTCATGGGAACAGTCCTGTACAGGAGAGCGATCACTGGGGCCTCCTCTGGAAATCGTCAAGTCAGACAGTAAATAAGCTTCATCCAGTCTGAGTGGCTGAACCAGGTGATGAGGATTGATGGGAAATGGTGTCAGAAGGAGGAATTTCCAGGGACATTCGAGGTCTGACTTTCTTCATCTTACTGGCTCCAGGTACTTAGCCGATTTCAGGAACATCACCCCCACACCCTTCTCCCAAGATGTAGCAGAGCCAACCACGCCTATCGCTGCTGCAGGGATCCGGAAGGCTGTCTCCCACGAAATCCCCCCACTAATTTCAGGAACATCACCCCACACCCTCCTCCCAAGATGTAGCAGAACCAACCAAGCCTATCACTGCTGCAGGGATCCGGAAGGCTGTCTCCCACGAAATCCCCCCACTGATCCCCCCCAAATATACTCTGGGTCCAGGCGCCTGGTCCAGGGCTGGGAGACCTTCGGTGCACTGTGCTGGATACCCATGGGGAAGCCAGATTGCCCTGTGATCCGCAGCATCCTCACCTGCTCTGGGGTGCCAGCCCTGTCCATGGAGCACTCACCTGGATGAAGTTCCACCTCTTGTACAGGCTGCTCTTGACCTTGTCGCAGTCAAGCAGTTGGGGCAACCGACTCTTGGAGTTGTCTACCAGGCAGCGGGTGTCGGGGAGGAGCGTGGTGGTCCCCAGGGCTCCCAAGTGCAGAAAGCCTTCCTTGGTGTAGCGGGCCAGCTGGGGAGAGAGAGCAGAGTGGCAGGGGAGGAGGGTCAGGAGGGTAGGGGCGAGACCATGAAGGAAAACAGGGTTGAGGTCTGCAGGTCTCACCCAGGCCTCTGTTCGCGCTGCAGCCCTGGCTACCATCTCAGGCCTGTCACACACCCACATCCCCAACTCACAGGGGAGCCCTGACCAGGAGGCCCTCTGGTTTGCTAAGCCAGGATACTGATTCCCCTCATCCACTCTGATTTTTTCCTAAGCATGTCCTCGTCAGTGTTTCAGGAGTCCAGCCTCTGTGCAGCAGCACAGGGAGCAGGAATAAGTAAGTGAAGGAGCAAGATAGCTGATTTCTAAAGCGTGGGTCCACTCTGATTTTTTCCTAAGCATGTCCTCGTCAATGTTTCAGGAGTCCAGCCTTCTGTACAGCAGCACAGGGAGCAGGAAAAAGTAAGTGAAGGAGCAAGATAGCTGATTTCTAAAGCGTGGCTCTGCTTCCGGCTGGCTGGGCCGCCTTGAATAATTCACTTAACCTCTCTGAGCCACCATTTCCTCCTCCTTTGTAATTGGGGATTAATGAAATCTACTGCTGCAAAGGACCCAAAGAGGCAGTGCCCGCAAGAAGGAATAGACATTATTAAAAAGCATTCAACCTCATAGGCTCTTAAATAAATAAAATAGCAATGAGATACCACATTTTTAAAAAGAACTTATTCCTATTTTTTCAAGGATAGCATAAGATGGGCTGGCAGGAGGGTAAATTACTACAAACTTGCAAAAAGGGGATTTCAAAATACACACGTTGTGCTTTTAAAATGTTCTCCTTTGACTCAATAAATCTACTTTTAGAAATGTATCCCAGGGAAATAATCAGAACTGTGAACAAAACTTTATGTATAGGGTGTTTACTGCAACATTATTTATAACATCCTACATGTGCAACAACACAGCCCTGGTATTGGCTTTCTGCTCCATGTAGTACTGCAAGGAGTGCTGGGCGATTGTGGGAAATTGCAAAAATGGCCTCATCCTTCACTCTTCCTCCTGTAAAACGTTGGTAACGTGACTCTGCAGCAGTTTCCATCATATCGGTGACTTGCTTTGGCCAACAGAATGAAGAAGATGTGAGGATGTGCCTATTCCTGAATTAGACCTTGCATACTTCCACCCACCTGAAACCTTGCTGCCACCACTGTAGTAAGCTCAGGACGGACTGCTAGAGGATGAGGGACAACCACCAGACAAGGGGATGATGTCATCAGAGGTCAGGTAGCCCTCAGCCAACCTGATAGCTGATAGGAGGCTCGTAAATGAATCCCGTCAAGATCAGCTGAGTCTGGTCCAGATCACAGAACCATCCAGCTGGCCTATGCACTCATGAGAAATAATAAAGGCAGACTGTTTCATGCCACTAAGTGTGGGATAGTTGTTATGCAGCAATAGCTAACTGATATAGAGATGGCGTTGCCTGCCAACTGTTACCCCAGCAGGGTTCCACTCTCCTGCCTGTCCGCATTGTTTAAAACTCTGTATTCCAGTGGTTCTCAACCTGTGGGTCATGACCCCTTTGGGGGTTGAACGACCCTTTCACAGGGGTCACCTAAGACCATCCTGCGTATCAGATATTTACATTACGATTCATAACAGCAGCAAAATTACAGTTATGAAGTAGCAACGAAAATAATTTTATGGTTGGGGGTCACAACATGAGCAACTGTATTTAAAGGGCCAGAAGGTTGAGAACCACTGCTGTATCCCAACTTTTGAAGAAATGGATTCACCTGCCATTCACATTCCTTCAGGGGCAGGGACTGTGTCCAATTCCTTTCATTCATTGCTAGGAGGGCCATCACAGACCAAGCACTTAAAAATGTGTTTGTGAATGAGCACATTGTAAATCTAGTAAACATCCTCATTTAAAAAAAACAAATGAAGCTCCATCTACATTTAAACTCTACAAGCATGTTTTGAAGGCTCCTCTGTGTGCCCAGCCTGGGACAGCCTTCTGGGTATATAAGGATGGGCTGTGTTCCCACTGAGATGGTCCCAGTGCAGGCTGGTGAGGGCAATGAGAGAGGCTAGCACGCACCTCCTGTGTGTTCTTACAGTCTTAAGCGGTAACTAGAGTAGGAGTGATGACTATCGATATAAAGGTTCCTAAACAAATAAAAAAGTAAAATGACCAGCTTGCAGGTAGTGAAGGCATACTCTGCATCGTTTCTAAGATTGTACAGGGGGTAAATAATGGAATTGCCACAAAACCCTGTGAAATAGGTGCTACTACTCACCCCATTTTAAAGATGAGGAAACCAAGGCATGAAGACATCTGGTCACCCGGTGGCCCTGGCCTCTGTTGGGTGCCTAGAGGCCCTATGGTTGGTGGCCCTGGCCCAGCAGCTGAGCAGCAGAGGGGCCCCTCCCAGAGGACCCTCTCCTCCTCCCAAGAGCCTGGGCGTTTCTGGCCAGGGATGGGGCAAGAAGGCTGCTCTGCTCAGGGACACGAGTGCCTCTTCTCAGGGGATAAGATTCTCCTCGGGCCGCTCTAAGCTCCTGGTAGAAGCTGCTCAGAAACCCTCTGCTCTGATCCCCAAAGGGAAGCCTGCCCGGTCCCCCCGAAACAAGTGGCAGAGAGTTTATGAAGTGCCCTTGAGAGAAATGCAGTTAACATGTGCTTTAAACTCAAATTAATTCCAAATCAGAGTAATTGTTAGAGGCAAAGTGATAAGAAAATCAGAAACTCTCCCCACCCCTCCTTAAACAATGTCTCTGAATATATTTAAATTCACCAAATGCAAAGTGATGAATGACAACAAGCTGCCTTTATGTTCAGGGGAAAGATATACACAGCTGCTTATTGAAATTATGCATCAATCTATTATCCAGCAGGCAAATGAGTAGCGCTAAGAACATTAATTAACTAAACATATCTGTGACCCAGATGTTTAAAGAGTGACGCTAAATGCCCCTGGGAGTTAGGGCATGAAACAAGGAGACCCAGGCTGCTAGGACCTGCAAAGGCCACACACCAGCCCCAAGCCCTGCAGGCATCCGGGTGGGCAGGGGGCTGAAGAGGCCTCTAGGATTTCTGTCCTGGGGGAAGGCTGGTTCTCATACCGGAAGTACCAGGACACGTGTATAGGCTCTGTTGGCCCCGCCAAGGGGCCAGGGTCAGGGGAAGGGCGCTGTGGTCTGAATGGAACGTGGGGCTTACGAGGCAGGAGGATGGTAAGTGCTGAGACCTGACATCCCTCTCTCCTTTTCCTCCACTCCTGGATTGAGAGTCTGCCTAGTCCACCGCCCCCCACTTCCCACCCCCGTGCTCCCTCTTTAAACACCTCTGCTCCCTGTCCTCTGTAAGTCCAACAGGCTCTCCATCTCCAGGGCCTTGCTCCAGCAGTCACCCTGCCTGGAAATGCTTTTTATTGGCCTTCCTCTAGGACTTTCTGGCTTCAGAATTCCCAGACCTCAATGCAGGTCTCTCCATTCCACAATGTCTTTCTTCTCTAATGCATTCTGTCATCTCCCGTCAAGTCTTTGGCACAACACAGATCCATACACTGGCTACTCGGGGTCCCTTGCATTTTCATATGAATTTTAGGGTCAGCTTTTCCATTTCTGCAAGCAAGGCCGTTGGATTTTGACGGTGATTGGATGGAATCTCTAGGTTAGCTCAGAACTGCCATCTTCACAGTGGTGGGTCTTGAACATGGGAGACCCTTTTTATTTAGGTCTTTCATTCCTTTCAACAGTGTTTGGTTGTTTTTGGTGTACAAGTCTTAAACTGCTTTGCCTACATGTGTTCCTAAGCATCTTCTCTTTTTTGATGCTATTGTAATGGTACTGATGTCTTATTTCCTTTTCAGATTTTTATTGCCGCCAGTGTATGCAGTACTGTCTTCCGTGAACCGCAGGCCGCCATCTGGTACCTCGTGGTCACCCAGAACTGCAGGCTCAGAAGGTCCCCTTGGTTCCTGCCTCCACGGACCAGGGTCAAATGCCAGCTGCCCGCACCCACTGCAGACCCACCCGTATTCCACTGTGCCTGGGCCTCACCCTCGCTCTCTCAGCTTTTCCCTCACTTCTTGTGCCTCTCTGTCAGACAATACCCTTCTCACCCCTTCAGGGCCTAGATTTTAAAAATGTGTCCTTCCTCCTCCATCCCTAGCCTGGTGTCCTGCGCCTTCACGGCCCTCCGGGGATCTTGTCTCCTCCTTTGTTTGGAAGTTATGGCTCCTACCCCTCAAAACCTGACTTCCTTCACATTCCCTCACTTCCTCTCAGTCTCGGCCCTCTCCTCACTCTGCAGGCACCTTAAGTCATTATTTCTCCTGTCTCTTTCATTTCTTCCAAGCTACAAACATAATCAAATATTTATGCCCCCCCCCCCAAATCCTCTCCAGTCACAGCTCTTATTACCTCCTAATTTTGTCCTTGGAGTTCCTCTCTCTAATTCCTCAGTGCCTTGCAATTTGGCTTCTACCACCACTACTCATGGCAATTGTCAACAAGATCCATTAATTATCAACTTCAATTGCTTTTTCTTTGTCTTTATACTAGAGGCCCAGTGCACAAAAATTTGTGCACTGGTGGTGGGGGGGGGGTCCCTCAGCCCGGCCTGTGCCTTCTCGCAGTCTGGGACCCCTCAGGGGATGTCCACCTGCTGGTTTAGGCCCGCTCCCTGGGGGATTGGGCCTAAGCTGGCAGTCAGACATCCCTCTGGCAGCCCAGGAGACCTCGGGGGATGTCCACTTGCCAGCGGGGAGCAGGCTTAAGCTGCAATTGGACACCCTTAGCGCTGCTGAGGAGGAGGCGGGAGAGGCAGCCGTCAGCCTGGCTTGTGGCTGAGCAGAGCTCCCACTGACCACCAGGGGGCGGCTCCTGCATTGAGCATCTGCCCCCTGGTGGTCAGTGTGTGTCATAGTGACCAGTCATTCCCAGTCGTTCTGCTGCTAGGGTCAATTTGCATATTACCCTTTTATTATATAGGACAGAGGCCTGATGCATGGGTGGGGGCCGGC